GTCATCCACCCCGGGTAGGCTTCAGGTCATCCACCCCGGGTAGGCTTCAGGTCATCCACCCGGGTGGTCTTCAAGCCATCCACCCCGGGCAGTCTTCAGGTCATCCACCCGGGCGGTCTTCCAGCCATCCACCCCGGGCGGTCTTCAAGCCTTCTCTGCGAATGAAGTCACGATCTCACATGTCTGACCTACACATCCACCCGGTCAGTATACCGGGGTTGGTGAGGTCATGCGGGGGCCAGAATTTGGTACCCCCGGACGCCTGTGAATTTACCGGGTGGTACTAGTGGATTATATCCATCACAACTCATGCTGTAACACTCCAACCCGCATAACCCAAATACAAAGACCATCGGTTCGGGTTGTCATTGGACTAGCATTTAGATACATCATATTTTCAAAACAATTTAAAACATTTAGTTCAAAAATAATATTTATAACTCCATTGGAGTAATATAAAACAATGTGCAAGCCTGTTACTTAATTTAAAACTCAACTTTGGATTCTTGCCTGAAAACATATTAATTTCAAATGTAATATTAAATTAAACAGACTCCTTAGCTAGCATCCATCCATCTCCTTATCCTCGCTGCCCTTCAAGATTGTTTCTTTATTCGTCATTCGTGTTACCTACATGTAGTAAGTAAAATAAACTATACGCTCAGCTTTCACGCTGAGTGAGAGGTTCAAATAATAGAAGTCACACATAAGATTAATTCAACATACATAATCACTAATAGAAATCCATGCAACAGGCAAAGTCACATAATAACATCAAGTAACATCCCCAACATCATAATAATTCATACAACTAGGCATTTAACTTAATTACATAATTTACACCATTACACATTTGTGTCATTATTAGACTTTAGTGAGATCATTATTCATAAAGTCTCTAGTTCTTCAGAAAATCAGTGTTAAACCATTATGCTCATCTATCATATTTTTTAAATCCTCGACTAAACTTCTATGAATAGCCAAAAAGTTATTCTCCCTACTATATGAAACAAATAGAAGAATTTTATTATTATTATGTGAATAGTGTTTCATGAGTATTATATTATCAAACACTTGTAATTAGTACCTGCCTGTATTAAAAGGGTGCAATTAGTAAAGTGTTTGTGGTACCTAAAATGAGTTATTCTGTTTGATATCTCGTTCTATGTATCATAAATTTACAATTGAGTAAATCTTGATCTTTCACCATCTTCTCACAATAAAGATAATATGTGATGATGATTGTGCTCGCTTTTTTGTTGTGAGATGCATTAATATTTCCATCAATGTACCAGACAAAAACACATTATTGTATTTTTTTTAAATTTTTCATGGTAATGAGAAATCCTTGCACCAAATCCATAAAATATATTACAGAGCAAATCTAAGGGTTTCATTAGAAGAGACATTTAAAGTGAGAGTGTATATGGTACATCCGGATGTACCTAGAGATAGGTACATCCGGGGAGTACTCATTCTGAAATAAAGTGGTACTCATTCTCGCATCAATATAAGCATTAATTTTGAAAATCAATTACTCATTTTGAAAAGACGTAGTACTCATTTTCACACATTTGTATAATATTCATTTACGAATAATCTAATACACATTCTAAAACCCAGTAGTACTTATATTCACACAACTTAGTGCTCATTCTTCAACTACTTACCACAGTTCATGTCCTAAGATCCCAAAATCTTCTTCAATTCTGCAGAAGCTTCCTTCATCATCATCATCACCCATCATCCCAAAATCGAACGGAAGATCAAATCTTCTTCAATTCTGCAGAACCTGGTCTTCCTTCATCATCATCATCACCCATCATCCCAAAATCGAACGGAAGAACAAATCTTCACATCATCATTGATCATCATCATCATCATCGATCCGCACAACATCACAGATCCGCGCGAAATTCCGATCGGCCAGCCTCCTTCATTGCAGATTTCTTCCCTTTCACCCCTATTAAACGCCGGCTGTATCTATCTCTAGGTACAACCGGATGTATAATATAATTTGCGATTTAAAGTTTTCTTTTCATTCAACAAATTGAAAAGTCTAGATGTTCTGAATCGTTTCTTTTTTTTTGTGTTCTTTTTTCATACCATAACAAAACTTGTAACGCCTCAAAATATGGTCTAAAATTATTCTATAATAAAAATAAAAGTATTTTAGAAATAATATAGGGGCACCCTTTCCGTTCACGTCACCCACTCACAAACCTAGAGAGAGAGTATATTCGCCGGTCAGAGAACCCTCGTCGCTAGTGTCACTTCGGTGTGTGAGGTCTCACGAACGAGATAATCTGAGAGAGCAGAGTGAGCGTGTTCGGTTGAGGTGCATCACACTCCCAGGAAAGCTCATCAAGGTTGTGAACGTGTCGAGATAGGTAAACAAATCTAAGATTTTTTCAATCCTTGTCTTATATCTCTATGATTAGGTTTGATATTACTGAATCACATGATTTTATTTTGCAAATCTTAATTATTGGAAGGTTTAGGTGTTGTTTCCAAATCTGAGCTAAAATCCTTATGGTTTGAATCTTAGTTTTTAGCAATGTTTATTCACTTGCTAACTTGTGATTGCATTTTTAACTCGTTGTGCATTTTAATGATGATTGAGATCATTTTTAGAAACTTGTTTGAATTTGTTACCTAAGTGAGTGAGTAGTCGACTAAACCTTGGTTAGTTTATGATGTTATGAATGAAAATGATTTTTTGAAGGTTCCTACCCTCCTAAATTCCCCGACCCGTCAATTTTACCCCACACGCACCCCATCCCCCCTGCACCCCCCCTAGATCACAACTCTGGGGCAAATTAGTGATCTAGGGGGTGCACGGGGACTGGGGTGAGGGCGGGGTGAAATTGATGGGACGGGGGGGGGGTTAGGAGGTAGGATATATCAATTTTATGAATGGAGCACCGTGGGTACCCCAAAATAACTGGTGTCACAAAGTGGTGTTATTTTTATTGGTGTGACATTACAATTTCAGGTGAGAAGATATATATATATATATATATATATAAATATATATATATATATCTGTGTGTGTGTGTGTTTTTTATATAAAGTAATATAAATAAAAAAGGTTAAAACACCACATTTAAAAAAATTAATGTGGTGCGTTAAACCATTTCCCAAAATTCCAGCAGTGTTAGTACATGCTATACGAGCTCTTGTTTCAAAAGTTAATTCTTGACTTCTTGTGATTCTTCTTTTATTTCTCACCTGCAACTTGAATCAACCCAACACCTCATATTGATCCATCAATTAAAGAATCTTAATCTCCCAATCCCCATAAGATAATTTAACTTTCAATGAAGAGAAAACATCAAATCAAGTACAATCAGTTCATCCTAAATTCGACTATGCTCAAGTAGATTATTACAATTTAAAAGCCCTTAGAAATTGGAAAAGAACCATTGAACATTAGAGTTTGTTTATTATTTAAAAGAAGCAAAGGGAGGGACCTTGGGATTTGTCTGAGGAAACTTTCAAGATGATCAATGAAGCAAAGCGTTGGGGAAGCAATTAAGACGGGGACGCAAAATAAAAACAATGACTTCTTGAGATAAGTATATTTAAGTTCATTCGTTTGAAGGATTTATAGAAATGGCTTTAGAAAAGTGTTCTTCTTTAAACGAATTTTAAGCTTAAATGTTACTCCCTCCGTCCACATTTAAAGTTTCCATTTTGACTCGGCACGGAGTTTAATAAAAGTTGAAATTTGCAAAGACTTTCCAATTATGTCCCTCCCACTTTCCCTGCCCATCCTCACCCACTCCCTCCAGGCATTTTCAATCCTGCGTCAACCGTTCCTTTCATCTTCCGTATCTTCCATCGTGGCCACCTCTGTTTATATTTAGATCTTCATCGCCACTGCTCCCTGTCAAGCAACTCGATCAAATCTTCATCGCTATCAAATCTTCAAGATCTTGGAGAAGGTAAAATCTTCACCGCTCAAATCTCCCTTTGATCTTCGGATTGAAAGGAAACGAGTTGAAAATAGAAAGAAGATGAAGAAAATGAAGAATTTGATAATTTTACGCTAGTGATGGGCAAGAAGAAGGGCAAGAAGAAATATGAAGAAAGAGAAGAAGAATTGAAGGAGATGAAGAAACGAAGAGCAAGAATATGGAGAAAAAGAACCGAAGAAGGAAAAGGGGTTTGGTAGAGAAGAAGATGAAGAAGAAATGAGAATAAAGAAATTAAGAAAAGATAAGGTGGGGATGTGTGGTGGTAAATCGGCAGGGGAGGAACAAATTTGAGAGAGATTAAAGGGTATCTTTGACATTTTACTTTTAAAAATTTGCCAAATAAGGAAATGGGAACATTTTTTGTGGACGGACCGAAAAGGAAAGTGGGAACTTTAAATGTGGACGGAGGGAGTATTTAATGTTAAAAAAACTATAAATTTTGTGTATTCTTGTAAATATAGAAATTGTTCAGCTCATCTGATCTGATATGATCAGATTTGATTTTTGGATGATGTAGTCTAATTTGATTAGATCTGATCTCAAACTTGCTCTTAAGATTGTTTAAGCTCGGGCAAAGAAAAAAATGGGACTTACTAAGAATTATTAGCTAAAAGTTAAAATATCTTTTTGATTAAAATTGAAATCCAATAAATATAACAACAAACTTTTTGTGTATAAATAAAAAAGATTAAAATACCCCAAAGTGACACTAGTTGAAATTTTATATATCTTCTTTATTTAAAAGAAGATATATAAAATTATTTATATACAAAAAGTTTGTTGTTATATAACTTATATTTATTGCATTTCAATTTTAATCAAAAAGATATTTTAACTTTTAGCTAGTAATTCTTAGTAAGTCCCATTTTTTTCTTTGCCCGAGCTTAAAAAATCTTAGGAGCAGGTTTGAGATCAGATCTAATCATATCAGATCAGATGAGCTGAACAGTTCATATATTTACAAGAATACACAAATTTTATAGTTTCTTTAACATTTAAGCTTGAAATTCGTTTAAAGAACACTTTTTTAAAGCTATTTCTATAAATCCTTCAAACGAATGGACTCAAATGTACTTATCCTGAAGAAGTCATTGTTCTTATTTCGTGTCCCCGTCCTAGTTGCTTCCCCATCGCTTTGCTTCTTGATCATCTTGAAAATTTCTCCAGACAAATCCCAAGGTCCCTCCCTTTGCTTCTTTTAAATAATAAACAAATTCTAATGTCCAATGGTTCTTTTCGAATTTCTAAGGGATTTTAAATTGTAATAATCTACTTGAGCACAATCAAATTTAGGATGAACTGATTTTACTTGATTTGATGTTTTCTCTTCATTGAAAGTTGATTATCTTATGGGGATTAGGAGATTAAGAATCTTTAATTGATTTATCGATATGAGGTGTTGGGTTGATTCAAGTTGCAGGTGAGAAATAAAAGAAGAATCACCAGAAGTCAAGAACTAACTTTTGAAACAAGAGTTCGTATAGCCTCATTAGCCTGTACTGCTGGAATTTTGGGAAATGGTTTAACGCACCACATAAATTTTTTTTCTTGCTATTTTATTTTTGTGATACAACCCATTAGAATCCCACGAAAGCAGGATCTGGGAGGGTATGCTGCTTTATTTATGATTTTTCATCTTTTGTAAACCAAGAACGCAGATCTATATAAAACAATTTACAGTAACTCAAAGTGTAAAGAATATAAACCAGGGAGGGTTTCGGCATCTTGATTTTTATTATTTAGTTGATTTGGAAGGTTGCATGAACGTGACAACGTGTTAGGAATTACTGAGTATGACTTACTTTCCATGGCAAAAAATGTTTGAAAATATGATAGCTGAGTCCAATGAGCTTTTAAAACAAACAAACTATTGGGCAATAATGTTGAATTTGTCGTCTAATATTTTGCACAATTTTTATATGTATATTCACTTTATATTTATACAAAATATCTTTTTTGCATATACAATTTACATTTATACAATCTGAAAACACATAGATGCAATATCTATGTTGCATCTATTATGGAAATATATGATTTTTGTTATAAAAAAAGGTAAACCTAATTTGAATAATAACGAAATTGGAAACATGCTTTGAAAACAGTCAATTTCTCACTGTTTCTTTAAGGTACATAAAACATACTGTCAAACACAATTTTAGTTTATGTTCTCAAAGGAAAGAGGAAAGTGATAAACTTTATTACGGTATTTATGGATATTCTGAACTAAAATATGATACGGAAGAAATCCTTGAGGAGGCAAGAAACTCATTTTTAATTATTTGTCCCTATGTTTTTAAACCGCTTCCTAAATCACATGGGGTACAGAAGAAAACACAGAGTCAAAAGGAAAGCGTTTTTATTTGCAGGCTATGGATGTTTCTGTGGCATTTCCTCAGGCAACTACAGCCTCAAAGTTTCCTCAGTGCAGTAAGTGTCATGATTGATTCGTTTAAAAAAGTTCTCCTTGTATCTCTGTCAGATGTAGTATATGCACATCTCATGCTCTTCTGAGTTTAAGAGTATCATATGCTAGCAGTAATTTTACCATATTTCATGTAGCCCGGCTCTAGAGATTTGGGATTGTCTCGGTTGTGGTCCCATGATTTTGATGAATATATCATTCTACCTTTGAGAGAAAATTTGAAGTTTGCTTTTGATCTTAAATAATGTTCGAATGCTCATTTATGTTTTACTTAAACGTGTTTCAAATATTTTACAGCATCTGACTATTATGAGTTTGATGATCTACTTACTCCTGATGAGAGGAATCTCAGATATAAGGTTAGAGAATGCATGGAAAAGGATGTAGCACCCATAATGTCAAAGGTTTTCCTCCTGGATTATTGAGCCTGAGTTATCTTATATACCTAAGCATGATATTTAATATTGAAGGCTTATCCCTGACAGGTGATTTAATCCATGTTGGTCTATGTTATTTTGTCATGCAGTATTGGGAGAAGGCTGAGTTTCCCTTTGGGATAATTCCAAAACTGGGTGCCTTAAAAATTGCCGGTGGCACTATCAAGGCAATTCTTCCTTGCTTTCTGAGATTTATTTTTAAAATTTTCTATTAGATAGTGTTTAATTTTAAAATTGTCACAATATGGCACATAGTCTTAGACTTTTAGCTCACGGATTCACTTAAAACTACAATTTTTAGTTTTTTTGTAGTGCATATGAGGCATCCATTGCTAATGGAGCTAAAAGACTCATTTTTTTTTTTAAAAAAAAGGTTTAGGATTGGGTAAATAATGGGTTAATCAGAATGCCTTAATAAACTTCATTTGCTTCTGTTTTGGAAAGAAAAAGAAAATGAAGCAATATATATCAATGGCCTAACAGGCATCCCTCTTTTGCAGGAGAAAAGTTGCATACATTTTAGTTCGGATTACATTATATTTTTGTTGTTGTTGTTTATTTGAGGTGTAATGTGTGTGACAACTGATAACTAAGTGATAAAGTCAAGGAGTGAAGGAATTGATTATGTAGTATGTTTGTGTTGAACGCCCTTTTTTTTATAGGAGGAGATATGCAAGGTACATATTTTGAGTGTACTCAGAAGAAAGTAGACTAGGTGCGTGTCAGTGTGTGAAATATAAATGCATCGTGTGTTATTAATAAAAAGCATGTTTTATGTCTAGCCGTTATTGATGATATGACCTTAGATAGGAGCATTTAGAAATCTAGGGTTAGGGTAGTTGGGTAGTCGTTTGGGCTTTAGGACACATTTTCTGCTCTTGTCGTGTGCTTTCTTTGCTTTGTCCTGTTTGTCTCTTTGTGCTCTTTTGACATTTAGTTGCTCTTTGCTTTTTGTGTTTGTGCGAGCTGCAAGTTTCGTGGAAACAACCTCTCTACCCTGCTTAAGTAGGATTCTGCTGGGTTTTTGTTGTTGCTGTGTCTAGATTCTTTTCTTAACCGATAGATGTAAAGTGTACATAATTCTGGATGCAGGGGTATGGCTGTCCTGGATTATCTATAACTGCAAGTGCAGTTGCTACAGCAGAACTAGCCAGAGTTGATGCCAGCTGCTCAACTTTCGTTCTTGTTCATTCTTCTTTAGCTATGCTGACTATATGTGAGTGTAATAGCTGATAATACTACAATATTGTAGTTGGCTCAAGACTGACAATGAAGTTGTAATTGTTTCATGGACTGTCCATAATAGCACTTTGCGGGTCAGAGGTGCAAAAACACAAGTATTTACCATCATTGGCCAGGCTTGATTCTGTAGCTTGTTGGGTGAGCAATTTATCTAGATTTCTATTTCTTGTAATACTGTATTATTTGCTGGCTTTTGGTTTGGTTTGCCTTTGTTTAAATGATCTGAAGTATACACTCCTAATGCTAGGCTCTTACAGAACCAGACTACGGGAGTGATGCAAGCTCCTTGAAAACAATTGCTACGAAGGTCTATTATTCGATCTTCAATATTAATTCTGCAACCATTAATCATTTGTACTATTTTTCATTATCATTATGTCTTCATTTCGTTGAGGTGAATTATGGTTCTGAAGTTTGTTGCATATTCAATTGAGAAGGTTGATGGAGGTTGGGTCATTGAAGGCCAAAAGCGTTGGATTGGAAACAGTACTTTTGCTGATGTACTCGTAATTTTTGCTAGAAATACTAGTACAAACGAGATAAATGGGTATGTTGAAAGTACATTAAGTTCCAGTTATTTGTTAGGATGTTCTTGTTGAGTCAGTTGCAGGGAAGCTGTTTCCTGTTGAGATTTTATTTAATGAATTGGTCTTGCTCCTGACTTTGGAAACAACCTCTCTACTTTCAAGTAGGGGTAAGGTATGCGGACACACACCCTACACAGACCCTACTTTTGCTGGTTTCTACTGGGTTGTTGTTGTTGGTCTCGCTGTTAACTAGCATTATTAGCTTTCAGTTAAGATATTTTCTGATTCTCTTTTAATCTTCTTTGTAAGTGTTAATACACTTGAAATTATTCCCATCTCCCTTCTAAATGTATTTCTGTCTTGGATCCCTCTGTTTTGCAGGTTCATAATAAAAAAAGGTGCACCTGGATTGCAAGCTACTAAGATAGAAAATAAAATTGGCCTGAGGATGGTTCAAAATGGAGATATCCTACTAAACAAAGTTTTTGTACCAGATGAGGACAGACTGCCTGGAGTTAATTCATTCCAAGATACAAATAAGGTCTCCCCATTCGACTCAATCTTCTTCCACCAAAAATATATCCTCTGCTATTATTTGAACTTCATCCCAACTCCTTGCAGAACAATTTTCTTTTCCACTTCATTACAATTCCACGCTGAACAACTTTATTGGCCGTGTTTTACAACTCTCCCAGAAAACAATAAAAACCACGAAGCCTTAATCCCAATTCAATGGATGTTGACTACATGCACTAAGAAAAATAATCGAGGTCAACCACTTGTTTCCTTATCTTTTACGTCCGCCCCTATCATGCACCATATTTTACGAAGCCCCCAATGCTCTAATGTCCCTCTTTACATTTTCAATCCAAATCAAGTTTTCGTCTACCAAAGTTCTCTTAAAGACTCTCCCATAAAGGGCTCCAGTCTCCGTACCGTAGTACCTACTTCTCGACCACTGATGTGCAGTAGAAACATACTCTGTTCTCTCTTTATCTTCAATAGTGGTTTCCCCCACCTTCCCGTGAGCTTCCGCATTCATACCACACATACACATCTTCACCGCATTCATCGTCTTTATTAAAATGCATATATTAAAGCCAATCTTATAGTAGTCCTATAACATATTCCCTTCAATCATAGTGGTACTCTTGCTGTTCCTTTCCACTTGTGGCTACTTAGTTTAGTTTTGAGCCTATGAGCCTATCTTTGTCAATATCTGATGATACTTAAAACAATGCAAATTGATAGTCATTTTCCATCCAACTTTAATGCAAACCGATTTTTAAATGTAGTAGTATTGAATTTGCCTCTGTACTATATTAAGCTTTCCACATTACTTCCGTCTGTACTATATTATAGGCTTTCTCCAAATGAATAAAAGATCATATGTAGATCTTTATTTGTTGTCCGATAATATTCCACGAGTTGTATTAAAGGATGGATTGTCTCTCTGGTACAATGATATGTTAATACAATTTCTCAACCTTTGTTCTATCCCCCTCTGGCCCTCTTTGTCAATTCATAACCCTTTCTCATTTGACACCTCACACGAGCTCTGAAAGTAAGGCACGTCGCTTAAGTTTGACAATGTAATGACCCTTGCATACTTATCATCACACCCGAGCTTAGAAAGAATAGCGAGTCCCTAATTATGGAACACCCTCTCATGATTGTCGTTATGGCTCTTGTTGATAGATGTTACTGAGTTTTACGCTGTTTGACAACCTTCCACATTCTTCCCCCTCTATCCGGGACCGGGACAAACAATGAGTGACATAAGTCACCCACGGCGGAGTTATTTAACAATACATTTCTCTTGAGTAGCATCTAAAACCAAAAGTGAATTGTATTACTTGAGTTTGATTTCCCATCTTTTTCCGCCATATTCAATTGCCTTTGTTGAAATAGGTTCTTGCTGTCTCACGAGTAATGGTTGCATGGCAACCAATTGGCATATCAATGGGTGTTTATGATGTGTGCCACAGGTACCTATGTTAAGCTTTCCACATGCGGCCCTCTCAGTTTGCATTCTCTCTTGCTAGGACCAACTTAATATTTCTCCCATAGCTTACTCGTCTGCTCATTTCTTGTGAAACTGTAAGGTACCTGAAAGAGAGGAAGCAATTTGGTGCTCCATTAGCAGCTTTCCAGATCAACCAACAGAAATTGGTCCAAATGCTGTCAAACATTCAAGCAATGATTCTTCTTGGCTGGCGCCTTTGCAAGTTGTACGGGAGTGGGAAAATGACTCCTGGTCAGGCGAGCTTAGCAAAAGTAAGAAATCGTCCCTAAACTGTGGTTATCAGCCGGTCTATCTTGTTTTCTGAATGATGCCCTTTGTTTTTATTCCCAGTCCTGGATAACACTGAGGGCAAGAGAGACTGCATCACTTGGCCGGGAATTATTAGGAGGCAACGGAATCTTAACCGACTTTCTAGTAGCAAAGGTTTGTAAGATGAATTTCTAGTGGGATCACCCACTTTGATTTTTTTGGTTTGTTTGAATTAAATAACATTCTTACTTGAAATTATATTTCTAGGCGTTTTGTGACTTGGAGCCGATCTACACATATGAAGGTACCTACGACATCAACACCCTTGTAACAGGAAGAGAAATCACAGGTATTGCAAGCTTCAAGCCAGCTCTATTACATCAAAGGAGTCGCATGTAATTGAATTTCAATCTATGACTAGATGATCGGCACAATGTTTATAGCTCGATTACCATCATGTATCTTCATATTTGCATAATAAAGCAAATCAGAGGAGAAAAAAACTTCAAATTTGCTTTGGAGCAACTTTGTATGCCAACAACAAATGATATCATTTTCTGATTACAACTCTTGTATCATACACATCATATCCTACTTTATTATAAGGTAGTGACACAATTTAAATAATATCAAAATTACATATTTCTACGGGTGTCTTTTTTCACCTTTGAAAAATTTTATGTGACGAAGGAAGTAGTATTGAATTTTTTTACCCCCTCAGTTATACTATTGAATTGAACTATCAAGTTTGGTCACTCATTAAATTTTTATACTTAGAGTCTATTATTTTAATCTTAAATTTTTAACATTCAGTTTTTTACAGTTTTTCAGTTCCTTTTAATTTTTTAGTTTATTCTAGTTAGTTTTTCAGTTTTTTCTAGTTTTTCCAATTATTTCCATTTTCTTCAATCTTTTTCTACTTTCCAAATTATGACTCTTAAAATGATATATTCTTCATGTATTATTATTATTATTATGCTCAAAACTATAACTTAAATTTTTTAAATTTTTCTATTTTTATTTTTCGCACGTCACAATTTTGGTGATTCATACTCATTATTAGTATTTCTTCCATTCTTAATATAAAAAATACAGAGTACAATTTTATTGGGATCTTTCTATTTTAATTTACATGACACTCAACTATGTCTCAAATATTAGGAATATTTTATTAATCTAAATTGACTTGCGGAAAATATCAATATCTTAAATTAAAAACTAATAGTTATACAACTCCCTCTATCCCTAATTAAATGACATACAAACTATTCACCTAGTTAATTTTTTTATTCTCTTTGTCTAATATGAATGTTATTATTATTATAATTATTATTATATCAACAACAACAACAATAATAGTAACCATAAAAATAATAATAATAATATGTAGAATAAACTTAAATAAAATTTTGAAATTCTTTATACTTTTTTTCAGTTCATTTTTGAGTTTTTACCAGTTTCTTTAGTCTCATCCAGCATCTAACTTTTTTTTCATCCTTAAAGCACTGGCTCTTAGTTACGTTTTTTTATCACTTTCCCATGAGAGAAAAATAATAAAAAATAAAACATAGAAAAAGAATCAAGGTATGACTTTTATATTTATATCTCAAAATAGGACCTATAATATCAATAATGTCAACATATAATAGTAAAATAATATAAAATGTTAATATGCTGTGTCACAATGTAATATTTCTGATTTGAGGATAAGAAACATGATATTCCTATTTTTGAGATAATTGTAATGTTTTACTTATATTTAATGGAATTTCTTTCCCACAACATATCTAAAATTGTGAAAGAAAACTGTCATGCTTGGGTATCCCGAATTTGATACCATCCTTTACAGTGTTTTGGGTTTGTAAATGTCTATGTGAAGAATGGTGTCGAACACGAGATCAAATTTTGGGGGAACCAAAATTAATAAAGAGTATAATGAGTACGCATGTCTATAGTTTACATGACCTCTTTTCAATTTTAGACACCTTCCGAAATTAAATTATTTCATGATATTCCAAAAATACTTTAATCAAATAACAGATAAACTTCAAAAACTAGTATGTATGATTCCGTCATGTGAAACATATGAAATGACCCATATGTTTATAGTCGAAATCTATACGGACGTGTATGTTGTGCAAAACAGCATGTCTTATTGCACAACAATCGAATGTTTGGCTTAAACATTGAAATTAGTGACGAGCATGAATCACGATCCTGTAGTCACAACTTTAAATAACTCACTCTCGTCCCTATAATGTTTCATTTTATTTAGGATGACAAAATTTTTCTCAATACCATTCTGAATCATTTTAAAATGGAACACGACCGGGACACATAAATATTTTCTTGTTACATCTCGTTGTTTCCTTTGTATGTATATATTTATTTTATCTATTAATTTTTACTTTTACCAAGATAGATACAAATAAGTATCTAGATTTAAGTATTAATTCGCATTACTTTTTAAACAACTGTATAAGACGTGTAAACTAAAATATTACTTTTTAAATATTTTTCTAGGTCCTTATTTAAGAATTTATAAAGATAATTGTCTATAACTTTTGAATTATTTTTACGGGTTAACAAATTAAAATTTTTAGCTTTATAGTTGAAAAAAAGTTTGAATTAGGACGTCCTAAACCATTTTGAATGATCCAAATCCTGAAATAAATGGAATAAAGTAGCACAACGTCGTATCTCCAACCATTCCGACCCATTTTTAAGAAACAGGACTAGAACTGGGACAACTTAAAACCCGAACCATTTCGACTAATACACACCCCTAATTATAATATTTGCAATGGTTCACAAATATGTGATTCTCTACGCAAATCGCCGCCTTTGACCGCCAAATATTTGAATATTTAAGTTAGACATTGAAATGTATGCATCATTCTGCAAAGGGAGGAGGTGATTATGCTAACATTATATTCTAATGTATAATTTCAACCCCACCGAAGCTTTGTTCCTTAGACTCTGCTACCAAGGGTTACCGCCCTGAATCTCCGCCAAGGAATTTGTAATATCATTGAACGTGCGTATAGTTCATACCTTCGAATTTGTTAACATTGTGTATTTTGTTGCATTTTTTGTTGTAACTTTAGTATTTTTGTGACTCATTGACTCTCACCCAAGATTGACCAAATTTGAAATGACGTTATTTTAGTCTAGTACATAAGGAAAGAAAAAAATATAAGACCTCTATGTTTTAATTTTTAAAATAGAACCTATAATGCCAATAATGGCAACATATAATACAGAATACAAAATAGTATTGTAGAATGTCAATATACAGACTTCTAAGGTTTGTGTACAGACCCTCCTTGAACCCTGCTGTTGTGAAATTCTACTGGGTTGTTTATCGTTAGCTTATATTTAAGAAAGACTTTATAAGATTATTAGTGTTAAAAAAATAAAATCTTTTATGATTTGTTCCAACTATTCATCATTTTTCCTCTTACTCTCTTAGAAAAACAAAGATTTATAGAAGTTTCATTTTAATGCATATACACCATCGGTAATAAAATTAAAACTTTTATTACAACAAGGACATATGATAGTTAAAAAATATTTATATAACAGAAATTATACGAGCAGGTTTGAAACACGAGGTTAACACTAATACTGTGTATAATATACTTCAAATATATTTTAATTTCAATTGTAGGTTATGCATCGTTGAGCAGGTCATTGATCCGAGTTGACCAATTCGATCGATAAAACCTTGACTCAATTGTTTGTCCGATTCAACATCCAATCCGATCTTCAGAAATCATAATATTGATTGTTTCTGAATCTTTTGTTACTAAACATTGCGATGTCACAAGTTTTTTAAACTTCTAAAAAAGGAAGTGTAACCTTTCAATGAAGAGTTGTTTTCCATGGCTTTAAGATTCACATGTAAAATATAAACCTTCTCACACTTTTCATGAATTGACAAATAGACCAGAGTCCAGAAAATGAACAAAGACCTTAAGACCACGAAATAATTTGCCTTCAGTCAACACACTCATTAAACTAACCCCGAACTACTCCGTAATATTCATCTTATCTGAAACTATTCTGAATTGATATTTGTCCAAACTGATAGCTATTGAAACGAGTAAATTCCTGCAGTATCTTAACGACTAAACTTGGAAGATTTTTTCACTTTTGTTTCCAAGCTTCATTTCCTCTCACTAAAAATACCTTAATTTGATCAGAGCTTTCATCCATAAGATATTAGCGAAGAAATGAAGTTTAGAAACTGAAGTAAAAAAATAAACTTCAATGTTCAGGTTTTGCAGATGAAATTTACCCCTATCGAAACTGAAGTCTACGCAAAGCGGTATCTATTTGAAACTTTCTAAACCTAAGCTGATATCTATCCAAACTGATTATATCATGAAGCATATCTAAACCGAATCAAGAAAATGTAGAGAGCCAAATTAGATCCGAGCAACCAAACCAACACGAATTGGTAATAACATACACCCAAAATAGAAATGAACCGATGAACAAATCCAAACTGCAAGTCTGAAACAGAACGGATTAACCGATGACCTATGAAAGGCCCCTTTCAAGAATGAAGTAACAGTTCTTTTTTCGGCATTAAACTCAACCATACAAATTTCATTGTCAATCTTGAAACAACAAATAGAAGAGGAGGAGGTACAATACACACACGATTTTATGAGGGGGGGGGGGCAATTATCAAGAATAACTACTTACAAAATATTCACAAATTTGATTCAACAATTCCGTCTTACACCTCAGACAAAAGATTGCTGATTCTTCTAAGCTCCTTTAAAGCTGCCATAGCTTGTTCTTTACCAACAAGAACATTCTTGGATAAATTATCCAATGGACCCCCCGCTTGAGACTCGTCTTGATGGAAAATATGCTCTATCACCTGGTGGGAGTTAATAAGAGAGAGCATGAAATAAGTATCCATTTCAAAGAATCCTTTCGGTGATTCAAAGTGGTTCGGCTCTTGACAATTAGAATGGATTTTTATCAATGACATTCATTCAAGAGCTTTACAGTTGTAACTTTATTATTTGCATTACCAACACAACCGGAGTCTAAAGTGTGTCAACTTAATAGAACTGCACAGAAGCGATGCCCCATCCACTTGTCAAGACTCAAAACACATTGGCCGAAGTACTCAGAAATCCCATCAAACTTTTTTATTAGCCGTTGCTCCGTTAGGAATCAAAAGTAAACAAATACTCCATATTTACTAGGAGTAGAAAACAAAGGTTTTCTTGTCTTTCCCTTTCTTTGAGGAATGAATGACACTGGCAGCAGGAGCAGGGGAGGGGGCATAAGAGATTCCTACTATCACAGACTGACAGTTCTCAATACTCACAGTAACGCGTTATAATAAGTAATAACTACATCTATTTATCTATTGCAAAAAAAGGGAGAAAAAAAAGGAAAACAGTTATATAGGTCAATGGGTTATGCTCTTCCAATCCATAAACCATAGGCAGGCCTAGATTTGTCTTTTAAAGGTGTGCTAAATTTTAATTATTCTGTTTAGCTAAATTCATAACTATTCCAAAATCTTCATTAAAGCAAACTTTGTCAATTGGTTTCACAGCACAAGGATTGTTAAGGGCATCAAAGTCAGCCGGTCCGTTTCTTGTACTTGTATAAGTGTGGCATTGTTATCTCGACAACAACCCATTAAAATCTGACAAAAAATTGGGTTTGGGGAGGGTGTGTGCATGCAAACCTTACCCCTACTCAAAACAGAGAGGTTGTTTCCAAGAGACCTCGAGCTCAAGCACAGTCAATGTAAACCAACAAAGTAGACACAAAAGTACAAACAAAGAACAAAGCGGTAGCAAAGATAAAATGATCAAACTAAGGGCAAAGAAAGCGCACAGAGACAATAAACACATAAACTGACATTGCCAACTAGACCCCAAGTACAGAAAGACAAGTGCAAAAGACTACCACTATGGCATTGTTATCTCTAATATACACTCTGTCCCACTATTTTTGTCCTTTTTTTTATTTTTTTGTTTGTCCCACTATTTTTGACTCATGCCATATTTTGGTCATATTTGTGTGGTTTAGTTCATTCTTAGTTTCTTACTTTTTGTTTTTTAACATCAATATCAACCACAAAAACTTACTTTTCTTAACTTTCGTGCCACTCTGTCCAAAAAATAATGGGACAGAGGGTGTATAAAGTATGGGCCAATTGGATACATCCAGTGTAATTGGGATTTACACAATTGCATATAATTACTCTCTTGGTTCTCTTTGGGATGACTGTGTGATTACAGTTACAACGTAGTAGGGTGTAAATGAGTACTTGAGGGGTCAGATCTCAGAGTAATCACCCTGTCCAATTTTACCCAACAAAAAAGCTATTGAATAAATAAAAGATACAATATCTAAATCATCAGCCTTTCCATCTCTTCTCCACTTCAAATCACACTGGGTAAGCCAAACTCTTTGCTTCAATTTTAATCTCGTAGGTCACAAGAAAAATTATATCGATCAATCATCGTGTAAGACTTCTTCATTCTTGCACAGAGCTCTTTACTCTTGATTAGTTCTCAGAGTTTTAATTATGCACAGAGCCATTTTTGTTCAGAGCCTTTATTTTGAATTACTAGGTTTTGCTTTACACATCAGTTAGTTCATAGTTACATATGCAATGAAGATGAAGACGAGGACTAAGTTTAGGGTTCTAAGGACTAGCTGAGGATGGGGGAGGGGTTTTAACTGAGAGAAGGGGGTGGAAAATTTTGTTTTTATCCCTGCATTGAACTGGTAGATAACAATAGGAGTGGCGGAGGACTAATCATCGAAATGAACTCAAGAAACGGGGACTGCGCTTGTATTATTTAGGAACTAAATGTGGAAAAGCACTTATTACTAGGAAGTAGGGACCATTTACGGAATTTACGCTATATTTAATCTTTCCAATTTTTTTTGTCTAACTAGAAACTGAAAATGAAGACCAATTCATAACTCTTTTAACGCAATTTACATTTCTATTGGCCTTGGAAGCAAAATATGCGGGCGTTGGACAGAGATAAAGGTTCACACTTTACTTCAAACAGAAGTATAGAACACAGTATCTGAACAATATAATTGGAGGGCACCAACGTGCATGCTATGATCTTTTGTGCATGAATATCACAAACAACATGTAGTTACATATATCTAATTACTGCCATAATAAGTAAATACATGAAACAGACTCAATTGGCTCTTATATTGGCAATTCTTGTGTGACCATTATATCAATTTACTCTTATATTGGCCCTAATAAGACATACGAGTATGTAATCACTTTCTCTGTTTGGTCGGACACATTATTTCTAATTACAGCCCTTATAATTAAACTCTGATATCCATATGTGATTTAAGTGTTTTGGTCCACTTTCTGTTTCCACTTAATATGAGAGATATTCCAATCCTTCCCTATCTTTGTCAAACTCCACGAAGAAGATGAGGGTGCAATGGTGCATGACCCATCTTTTCATCCTTGGAATTCTTTGGCGATCGCAAAATATTTTGGAGTGTATCCTTCAATTCACCAATTGAAACTTGAATTCCACCGATCATGTTCTCCAGCGACTCAATTCACTCTCTGCGGGTTGTCATTGAAACAGGTCATGTTGATCTCGCCTGCTCTGATACCAATTGATGAGTTCTCTTGGTACTGGGTGTGTGGTTCTAGGTGTGTGCTCAGGCACGTTTTCAAGCTCAAAGCTAAACTGTTCTTATTGATGATCATATATAATAGCAAGAGGGTATTTATATAAAGCTGTTCTGTGCCCTAACTCTAATTCTAAGATAACTTGGATACTCAATTAATAATATTATTATACATCTCTAATTTTAATATAACAATGATATAATATTATTAGAAACTCTAATTCTAGTATAACTATCTATTCTAATCAAAGCAGGATCCCCTAAGCTCCATATACCTTGGGCTTCTTGTGTCTACTGTAGACCAATAACCCAGCAATAATGAGTATATGTTTGCATACATTTGTAAGTTGTAACAAGCTTGGAGCATTTGACCTACTTGCTCCGAATTTGCATTTGATCTACTTGCTCCAACTTCTAAAGGAGTGTTAAAGTAACTTTAAACCTATTCCGTAGTTGTCAAATGACTCACATCAGACAAAATATAAGCACACTTTGATTGAACTTTACAGTTCTTTTAGGAGACCACTTTAGGGTTTCTTGAATTATAGTCCACTACTCCACTTTAACTTAAGTACCTATATAGGTGTGGCATTACAAACTCTGGAGTAGCTAACACAGTAGCATGTCTTTTTGTTCACTTTCAACAGTCACTATTGAATGTGCAAGAGCATTGATTAAAATGCAAGAAATGCAAAATACCTGAATATTTTCACGCATGGAATTCCCCAAGTACTTCAGTGAAGCCAATAAATTATGGTCTATGCTCTCTCCTTTGCTAGTTCCAATACAATCAAACCCATTAGTTGTACAGGATACAGCTGGAACATTTTTCTGTGTGTTTGCGCCATGGGGGGCTTTCACCACCGCATCTTTTTCAGATGTCCCTTCACCTGCATTCCGTCCAAGCCTCCAAACCCAGTTAAATCTTCCAGACAGAAACTTCCACTCTTTAGAGGAAGTTGTGGAATTGCCACCAAATTCATCACTTTTCTCAGATTTTACAAAAACTCCAAGAGGAAAAGAAGATCCTTCTGGGTGTGTCCTGGATGCTTCAGCACTATTGTCACCAACCAACAAATTTGATGCAACACTGCTTCTGTCTGATCCCATTTCCTGTTGATTATCATCACTACTAGGGCTAGATAGGTCAGAAAAGGTTGAAGAATTCCGTTCGCTACCAGTCTTTTCACTAAAACACTTGTCCTCAGACGCGCAAGTGAAAATTTTGCTTACTCCATCTTGTCCATTAGCATCAACCATATTCGTGTGGCCTAGATTCTCTCCATCTGCCAGGTTATATGTATCTTTATCTGACCCAACCTGCCGAGCCAGATCATTCAACAAACTTCTTCTAACAGCTGACTTGGGTGCTTTTCTTTCACCATCAGCCATAGATGGAGATGGGTCAGACTCAAATCCCGACATACACGATTTAACTTTCTCAGACAACAACTTCCTGTGGGCTGGGATTTGGCTCCTTTCAATGCATTTCCTGTTTTCTTCTTCATTGTGCAAAACTCTCCACTTCTCTTCCCAGTAGGTTTCAGATAGCAAATTCGAAGGAGTAGTAGTTAAATCAAATGAATAGCTATGACCTCTCAAAGCCGTTGACTTACTTCTCTGGTAGATCCCATCATAACTCAGAAATGGAACTGACTTATTGGCAGTCACTGCTAAACTATGTAAAGATTTTGCCTTCATTATCAATTTCTTTAAATTTATATGCTCTGAAAAATTCAGCAACCTCTGAAGGCATGCAGTAGCATTCTCTGTCGCAAGTAGTGAAGACCTCAAACATAGTATCATGGAAACTGCAAAAGCAGATATGAAAGCCCCCCTTGACGAATTGAGCACAATGCACCCAAAGTCCGCATGACTTTGTGTGAAATTCTCCAACTTCGTATTTTTACATGCAAATATTTCATCCCAAATAATCAAAAGGTCTTCAAGAGCAAATTCACGCCCAAACAGGACACGGAACCAACGTAATGCAAAATACTGGGGTTCAACACCAAGCTCAACAAGGTGGCTGTGGAGAGATGAGTCAACCTGCGAAAGCAAATGATATAAAACAGCAGAAGCTTCAATAACAGTGGGCAAGCCGGTATGTGAAGTTCCATAAGGGGAAAGGGAGAAAAATTCAGCCATAGCAACGGTACCACCAGCGCCATTCATTAAGGCATCAAACATACAATAAGCATCATGCTCCATAAACTTTACAGACAAAAGAACACCAAGCTCGCCTTCAGCGCCATATGCATCATTTAGTAGAACAATGGATTGTATCTTGGGATCAAGTTCACAAAGACTACAAATATTGACTGGAGTTTTGCCCGACCTATCTTCTTCTCCAATAGATTCTGAGAACTTTTTGAAATCAAATTTATATGTCAAATCATTTTCATGAAATGAAAAACCATCAAAGTTGTCAGTGAAGTGATCTTCGTAAAGATTCCTCACTTCAGAGAGATGTTCAACGTCAGCATGGAGAACATATAATAGTGGGGCCAACAATTCATGCATTCCTGCAAACCAAAACAGGAAAGTATGTACCACTAAATGATGAGAAAAACTGATCATACTCCATGTACTGTAAATAATTTTAGACGCTAAACCAAGAACATGGCATGCTCCATGATGTACATGTTGATTTTACAATATCAATTTAGCTCAACTATCTCAACTTGTTAAGTGACTTAAGTCTCATGATATTTTTTCTATATAAGTGGGAAAATGTATAACTACGATGACGATGGTATCGAACATTCTTCCAATCATTAGAAGGTTGCAAAAACTGACAAGATGAACATCTAGTATAAACCTTTATCATTATACGTTTTGCATGAAGGTTTGAAAAAAAATTAGACAGCTAATTGACACAGTAAATTTCATGCCACCGAGTACAATTTTGCTCTATGGAACAAAACACTAAACAGATAAGAGAGAAATAGGAGATAGGTTCGAGCTAAACCATAGAAACTTAAGCTGTGTACAGTAAATCTGACACGTATTCCGTATTAGAATGCACATGAGAGCATTATGGACCTATATCATGCAAAAAAAATGGTTAAGCACTTGATCAATATTGATTTTGTATTACGATTGAGCTTTGCACAATGGATTGGAAAATTTCCTAATTCGAACTAAACAGGAGAGCTTAAAGTACTTGACTACTTGATTTTATGCCCCAATACACATGAAATACTTCCTATAGAGAATGCCTAGATTTTTCATTGGTACTAAAAATTGATAAATGCAACAAGAGTAATTTAACCTTTGATTCGAACTAGGAGAATAGAGAATGCCTAACTTTCCATTGTTATAAAACAATTAATAAATGAAAAATGTGGGGTACTATTTTAACCGGAAATGAGAGATGGTGAAATGTTACTTGGAAAAACTGAATGGTTCTTCATTAAGTCAATAAAATGTGAATATCTGAAATAAGAGAGGTAGCAATTGCATTAAACTTAATCAAATTGAGGCCAATAAAACAACAGTAGTATCTCATTAAATACTAACTTTTAAATACCTTGTCTGTACCCATGCTCAGGATGTCCAAGGCACCAAAGAAGCAAAACGCGCCGCAACATGGCCTGGCATCCAGGGGTTTGAAAATAGCTACCTTGCTCGGGATATAAGCGAGATAAATCCTGATCAACCATTCTTTCTAACTCAGCATTTCTGAAAAAGCGACCCCACATGCTATCTACACAGTATTGCAGCACAATAATAGAAATCTGACTAGGCTTAATGTATAACTCAATGAATGCAATGGAAATAAAACACATGCATGAAAGGATCAGGATAAAGGTTCAAGTTGCTCAGGAAGGGACGCAAAAGAAATATACTCATATCCTACCAGGGTTTTGGGATAGTGGATTATCCATAACAAGACCAGGATATGCATTTCCATCCTTGGGTAGATTTGGATCAATGAGAAGCTGTCTCCTGATAGAAGCATAACTGCAAAAAATAAACAAAAAGGTTAGATCAAGATATACATTATACTGGTGTGATTGATAGTAATGCTTAGATATATGTATCCGGCCACATGAACTTTTATTTATCTACTGTTAAGTATCCAGCCTCAGTTATTTGAGATTAGGGCAGGGTTGTTCTTTGTTAGAAATTTGTATAGCAGTCAAACCTCAAAACAACACTGGAATTTAGACCATCATCATCAACAAATACAACCCAGTAGAATCTCACGAAAGCAAGGGGAGGAGGGTGTGCGTACGCAGACTTTACCCCTACTCAAACGTAGAGAGGCTGTTTCCAAGACACCCCGACTTAAGCAACACAACAGGCACAGAAAGCACGAACACAATACATAAAGAGCAAGCAAGGGGTAAAGAAAAGCTAAAGGAGACGAAAATTCACCAGCCAATGGAAGCACACACCACAAGAACCACAACTACAGCCTGAGGCCCAAACGACTACCCAAGTACCCCAATCCTAGATTTCCAAATTCTCCGGTCTAAGGTCATATCCTCGATAACGGCTAGAAAAATTAGGTCGTGCCTAATCACCTCTTTCCAATTCTTCCTACGTCTACTTATTTCCCTAGCCCTGCCCACTACCGTAAGCCTCTCACATCTCCGCATCAGGGGCTCAGTGCTTCACCGCTTCACATGCCCATACAACCTTAGTGTTTCCACAACTTATCCTCTGCAGGGCCACTCCCACCCATCCCTGCATAACCTTGTTCCGAGTTCTATCCAGCCTCGTCTGCCCACACATCCAGCGCAACATCCATGCATCTTTGTTGCATGCAATTGATGAACGTGAGTTTTCTTAACCACCCAACACTCCGCTTTGTAAAGCAAAGCCGGTCTAACATCAAACTGGTAGAACTTCTTCTTCATCCTTGCCAAATATTTCTTGTCGTAGAGAACCCATAAAGCCAGCTTAAACTTTGCTTAAGCAGCTCCCATACGGCGAACAGCATCCCCATCTATCTCCCCATCATGATCAAGCCAAGAAGCCAAAACATGTCTTTGTTAGGTACTAGGTGCGACTCGACCCTAATTTCCACATCTGATTTCGTCGCCCTACCACTAAAGTAGCATTCCAAGTACTCTTTCTTAGTCCTACTCAGTCTGAAGCCTTTGAATTTCAGGGAGTGACGCCGCAGCTCCAGCTTGTCATTGAGCCCCACACATGTCTTATCGATCAACACGATATCATTATTAAAAAGCATGCACCAATGGACTTTCCCTTGGACACCCTGCGACATCCATCACCAAAGCAAATATGAAGGGATTCTACATCGAACTCATTAAATAAGTACACAATAGCTACATGAAGGTGATTCCACACTTCTGAGTGAAATAATGTCCCCTTTGTTTCAATGTAGCAGAAAGAATGAAAAACTGTGATTTTGGTGGGTGGTCTCAAGAGACTTTCTATTGGTTCATGAAGCCAACTCATTTATTGGGACCATTTGGTAGCATGGTTTGGTTGTTGCACTGAATATTCAAGTTAGAAGATTTTCATTAGAAAGAATTACAATAAATTGAATTTAATACAAAGTATATAATTGCTATAGCTAAATATGAGTTGAAAATATAGAAGCACCACTTTGCTTGAATTGTCTATTACCCAACATTCTATAAAAAGCTAATTATCAAATTAATGAATAGCAATTGGATGAAATTAAATTCTCCCTCCGTCCCAAAAAAGAGTCATCTTTACTATTCCAAGATCAAACTATACTTTGTTTTTCACGCATTTTCATTGATCTTTTAATAAAATAAACTAGTCAAGTCACCAATTGTTTTGTAGAACTTTTGATATTGTTTTTAAATTTTTAACTTTTATTTTAAAATTTTGCACAATTTTTATTATAAAATTGAATTGAAAGTAGCTTTTGTCAAGCATTTTAAACTAAAACGGGCTTTTCTTGGGACGGAGGGAGTAATAGAAATCCCCAATTGACGCATATGTAAAATGACACCATCCTCATTTGAAACCATCGTGACACCATTTCAATTGACACATCTACGGTACTCCTTTCGTAAAATTGATTCTTCCTTCCCTCTAACACTCCCCCTAAACCTTTCTCCCATGTTTTCCCCCAGCCCCAATATCACTGATTTGGCATGCATGCATGCATGCATGCATGCATGCATGCATGCATGCATTCATGCATGCATGCATACATACATACATACATACATACATACATACATACATACATACATACATACATACATACATACATACATACATACATACATACATACATACATACATACATACATACATACATACATACATACATACATACATACATACATACATACATACATACATACATACATACATACATACATACATACATACATATCGTGTGTGTGTGCGGAGGGGGGGGAGGAAGGAACAATCAATTCTGGTTACCAACGGGCTAGCACACTCTGAGGTTGGTCCTACTTCTCTCTATATTGATGATCAATCATCACCAAACATTGAGGAGGTGGATGTCAATCTTGTTAAAAGACGCCTAGCCATTACTTTAACGTATAAGGATACATCTCAAGCTGATGATATCCCACTGAAACAACCTCCACATCAGCCCCTTGTACACCTAGGATATCCTCCACTGAGGTGTGTGTTCATAAGGTTTCTAGAATGACAACAAGGTCAGACTACAAAAAGTCTGGAGAAGGAGTTCTTCTGGCCTTAAAATGAGTAGTGTCCTCTACTGGAAATGTTAGGGGTGTTTCTAAATGGTGCAAGAGACTCTCCCTATTTAAAAAAGCACCATTCTCTGGACTTTATCTTTATCAATGAACCTATGATCAATGTTAATAAAGGATAAAAATTGGCTTTTAAGCTTGGTTTTTCTGGTTTTGTTAGCAACTCCAATAACAAATGTGGATGGTTTGGGATACATCCATTTTGAACTGGATCATTTTCATGAAACTTCCCAGATAACTCACAATTTTTTAATAAGGATGCATGATGGTCTGAATTTCACTTTGAGTTGTGTTTATGCCTCTCACAAAACCAGCAGCAGGAAAGAGGTTTGGGACAATATCTTAACTTTAAGCACTAATTGCAACTACCCTTGGTTACTTGGGGGGGGGGGGGGNAGGAAGTTGCCTGACTTAGATGGTGTAGAGGATTTCTCCAATTGCATTGCTGACTCTAATATACGTGAAAGTGGTTTCATTGGACCCTCTTTCACTTGGCATGGAGTGAGAAGTAATGGTAATGTTTGGAGGAGGCTGAATAGGGTGTTCTATACTGAACTCTGGAGTTTTAATTGGCCTCTCATCTCTATGGAACACCTAGCCAAGGGAGGTAGTGATCATTGCCCCATCCTTTTGATTTCAAAACTTGAAACAGTTAATGCCGCTAAATCCTTCAGGTTCCAAAATATGTGGACCCTTCCCAAGGATTTTCTCTCAACCTGTGAAAAGAGTTGGCAGGAAGTAGACTATTATGGGGATATGCATTGTTTCTTTAAGAAGCTTGCCCACCTTAAGAATTCTGTTGTTTCTTGGAACAAGGAAACTTTTAGTAATATTTTTCAGCTGGTTAAAGAAGCAGAAAAGGAAGCCTCTGTGGCAGAAGAAACTTTTGAAAGTGTTCCTAGAGATTGACAACCTTAAGAAGGCCCATCTCGCTTTAGTGATCCAAATGGAATATACCTACTGGAGGCAGAAAGGTAATATTAAATGGTTAAGAGAGGGAGATGCTAATACCCAATTCTTTCACAGTCTGGTCAGGGAAAGGAGGGGGCAACAAAGAATTAATGCTTTCATGGATGAGCATAATCAATGGGTAGACAAGCAAGATGAAATGGAGAACTTGGCTATTTCTAATTTCACTGCTTTTTCAATGGGTCAGAACCTGAGTGCTCTCAACTGGAGTATGATCAATTCCTTTCTTCCATCCCTATGCTTCTGAACCATACTCACAATGAAGCCTTGATGCAGCTTCCTTTGACTGAAAAGATCAAAGAGATCTCATAGGAGATGGATAACAATGCTTGTGCAGGTCCTGATGGGTTTAATGCATATTTCTTCAAGCACTGCTGGGATTTTGTTAAAGAAGATATCACATGGTTCCCCCTTTGGCTTTTCTATCTAAGTTATGCACCATCTCTTTGGTGAGAAAAATCTGGTATTTGATCTCCCTCCCCGAAATTAAAGCTCCTTGTTCTTCAGAGATAATGATTTGTAGGATCTTCACAAGTCTTTTAGAGATGCATTTAGTGGCTATCTTAGAGGCCACTGTGGAGAGACAAATTGGCCTGAAAACTTGGCTGCATTATCCACCTTAGGAAGGAGTACTATATTCGAGCTTGCTGCATTGATAGGAAGGGGTACCCCCAAGGAAAACCTTGTGGGTTTTTCGGCAAATCAAGGAGGACCAAGCAGGGAGACCCTCTTTCTCCCCTTCTTTTTATTATAGTACACTACCCTTGTGAATGGAAAGCCTTGTGGCCAATCGGGAGACCCCCTTTCTCCTGTTCTTTTTATTATAGCTAATGAGGGTTTCTCCAAAAATCTTAATCTGCTGATGTCCAATGGATTAATTGACAGGTATAACTGTGGGAGAAAGTCTATCCTTATCTCTCACCTATCATATGCAGATGAATAGATGATATGATCATTTTCTCCCTATGCAATAAAAGATCCATTGCTCAAATATATAAATTCTTGAAGATCTATCAGGGAGTCTCTGGCCAGACCATAAACAGAAGGAAATCTAGTTTTCTTCTAGGTAAAGCACACAACTCCAGAGATATCCTAACCTTAGAAGAATGGCTAGAGATGCCTCACAAGAAGCTGCCTTCACTTACCTAGGGATTCCTATTGATAGAGGTATCACTAGGACTCAAAATTGTGCTCATCTCCTAGGGGCCTTTGACCAAAAGTTGAATGGTTGGTTCATGAAGCATTTAAACCAAGCGGGGAGGCTGGTGCTGATTAACTATGTCCTAAACACACTGCCCATCTATTTTCTTTCTACAAATACCTTGCCCAAATCCATTTACAGGATCCTAAACCACAAACTGGCATACTTCTGGTGGGGAGGCAGCAAACACAAGCATCACTGGATTAAATGGATAGACCTTTGTTCTCCTAAGGCTGAAGGTGGTATAAGAACTAGAGATTGCAAAGCACTAGAAGAAGCTTTCAGACTCTAAACTCTGGTGGAATTTTATGCAGAAAAGCTCTCTCTGGACAAGGTTTATAAATGCCAAATATCTTAGGGATGGTGATATGGAGGCCCAACTGATTGAATCCTGTGTATGTAAGAGAATAACAAGGGTAAACCAGAAAAGAGAAAATTTCACAATGGAAAATGATGATGGAACTACTTCCTGGACCCTTACAACCAATGGCCAATTCAGCATTTCAACAGCTTATGAGGTATGCAGATCTGTGAAGGAAGAATTAGATCTTACAGTTATATGTGGGGGGCTAGACAGAGCCCTAAGATCAGCATATTCACATGGAAGTTCTTCGGAAGATGTCTCCCAATCCAGAGAAAACCTGATGAAACTGGGGATCAATTTACCTTCCATGTGTCCATACTGTATGAAGGCATCATTTATTGCAAAACTTTGTTTGATGGATTGCGAAAAAAATATCCCTATTTGGATCCATTTCTCAAACATCCTAAGTTTCGCCCATTAGCAGCCTAACTCTCTTAATCAACTTTTCATGGATTGGTGGTTGAGGGCCACTCCTAATCTTTATTGTTTTCTACGGTCACACCTTCCGTCTATCATCACATGGCACATTTGGAAGCTCCTATGCACAATTATTTATGGAGATTGGAACAAATTGCATACCGAGGAACTCATTCACAACATCTCTAAGTATGTGAGGCAATGGCTTCTAGCCTCAGCTCCAGCAGGTAAAGAAGAAACGAATATTGGCTCATTACCAATAGTCTAAGCCCTATTTTTCACAGCAGGGCCAGAATACGTGCAATCAAATGGCTTGCTCCACCATCAGGCAGGTTAAAACTCAACATTGATGCTTCTTTCACTAGAACATCCCAGAGAGGTGCACCTATCCTAAGAGACTCTTGCGGCAAATTCACTAGTGGTGCTTCCTTTCAACTTCAAGCACTATCTCCTTTCCAAGCAGAGGTTGAAGCTTCCACTAAAGGGATGAATTGGGCAACTGATCTCACTAATGATTTCATAGTTGAGCCAGATGCTTGGGAAGTCTACACACGTGCTACCAATTTTATTCCTCACAGGACCTCCCCTTTCCCTATAGATAGTCTAGGACGTCTACTGCTGGATCACAACCTACCGCTCATTCACACTCTTAGAGAAGGAAAAGGACCTGCAGATATTCTTGCTAAGGAAGATAGAAATAGAGATGAAGATATAATTTTGTATCCTGAATTTTCCATTAGGCATGACTTTGTACCTTCATTTCGGTTTGATGATCAATAAATCCTTATTTTATTAATATGTTAACTATGAAACTTATTTTATATATTGACATAAGACCAAGAAACAATTATAGAAATTCAATATCTCAAATCATCAATAATGAATCGTCATACCTGACTTAACAATGAAATAATGAAACATAAGAAGTTTGTGCCACATAAAATCCCATTACGAACAAAGGAAACAAACCTACTTTCTACGCAAGTCTGCAGTAGCTCGGCGAATATCTATGATGGAAGAAGTGAGAGAAGACGGTAAAATCCCCAGTTCGATGCGCCATCGTACCCCTCTAAGATAATCGAAACAGAGGGTCATTTGAGGAGATTGATGAAGAGAGGAAGACGACGCCGTTGAAAACAATGTCGGCTCAATCGGAACCGGCGACATAACCTTTTTGTTTTCCGTTTTGTAGGCACCTGAATATTGAGCCTCCGCACTTGCTCATAAAAATACCAAAAGGAAACGAACACCAATCATGGACCAAATAACCAACAAGTCTATCTAATGACAAATTCTCATGCTGGCAAAAGATTTAAAAACAAAATAAAAAGAAAAGAATGAACCCTATTGGGAGGAATGCGATTGATTTATTTTTAATTAATTGTGCCAAATTTTTTGGTGAGGCTAACTCTATTTTAAGAAATGAGTAAGACTATTTTCTTTTAGTTTTAGAGTTGGATGTTGGAAAAAAGTAGAATGAGTTGGAAAATGTTGGAAGAATTATAGTGTTAAAAATCATTCAATAAAATGATTATCTAAACAAATATGTAAGAAAAATTCTAATTTTAGATTTAAAAAAATTCATACTTATCCGTGTTGGAGATAATATGTTATAAATCTGGATATATAATGTCATTTATATTAATCATATATAAATACTTCTTTAAGTCATTGTTGGAAGAAATTAGAATAAGTTGGTAGACACTTGAAGGGATGAAAAACACTGAAAGGAGTTGGAAAAAATTGGAAGTTAATTTTTTTAGTCCAAAAGAACAAGTCCCAAATAAGAGAAAAACATAGAAAAAATAGTAACATAAGAGTTTCATGTTTTTATCTCCAAAATAAGAGTATGCATTATAATAACGTGGCACTGTATATTGACATTTAATAATAGATTTTGATAGTTTAGCCTTTTTCCTTGTATTTTCTATGCTTGGAAATTTGAGTTTATATTACAAATTGGAATGTGATTCAAATTTTATGCTTGAAAGTCTTAAAAATATAAATCTAGGAAGGTGTATTATTCAACATAGACTCTACAAGATTTTTATGAATTTTAAAATTTCATGGATATTCGATTAATATTTATAAAAGTATTTAATATATTACCTTGTCATTTTAAATTCAAGAATTCAAATGTTATACTAAAATACAAGAACTGTTTCAACCTCTCCAAAATACATTGAACAGAAGGTTATACGTTCATTCTAAATGTAAACATCTCCTTTTGAACCCTTCGGTTGTGCCCTATTATGTACGAGGCCTTTAAGGAATGCAAGAAACCTATGAGGACCATGTATAAATATTAGAGAACAACTATATACTTGACTAAACATAAAAGAAGAGTAACTACTTTAACATTTCTATCAGGTGCATCCATATATAATAAAAGGGACCTCCAAACTTTGTTTCATCAAGCAAGTTAACAATTAAGTAAGGGAAAAAACCAAAATAGCACTCTTATAGCCTTAAAATACTCTAAATAGCAGTGTTATATGTTTCGTACTTGTGATTTCGATTTTGTCCTTTAATTAAACAACAAATATTCATTACACACTGCCAAAAAATATGACTGTTTTGGGTAGTGTGGTTGTTCACTTGTAACTATGTAGTGGGCAGTGTGGTTTTTTATATGTGAGTATTTTGATGTGGCAGTGTAGAATGAATATATGTTGTTCGTTATATCTTACGACAGTGTGTAAGTGTATTATTGTGTTCCTTAATTTCATGTTGGAGTGTAATGTCCATTGACTTATGTTATGTGGCAGTGCTTTCATGTATAAATTCTATAGTGTCAAAAAGTGTATGGTTGTTTTCATGTATGAATTCTACACTGCCCAAAAATGTATAGCTCTTTTTATGTATGGATTACACTCTTTTCACGTATAATTCCACACTGCAAAAATGTGTATCACTATTTTCATGTATGATTTCTAGACTACCCAAAAATGTATGGCTGTTTCCATGAATAATCTATTACACCAAAACACATTAGCCAAACATGGGCGTATAATATGGAACTTAATTTAATACGTACGAACTTGTTTAGGCATTATACATTGGTAAACTATGTAGGAAGAGGATCTTGCAAAGCCATGATAAACGACGTGGGATGATATTCTTCCACGTATGAGACGCACAATGAGGAGGAGCCCCACGTATGAGGAGAAGTGACTACGTGAATAACCTAAGTTTAATCAAATAATTAAAAGTAATTAAAAGTAGTAGAATATAATAAAATGTAGAGGGCATGTTTGGAAGATATTGTCATTATAAAGAGCTAAAATCGTATAAAAGATCAAGGAGTGTTATATGCGTAATATTGACTGACTTAGACTGCTACGTAGGGTGATTTCTTATTAAGAGCCTATTTGTCACTGCTTTGGATTAAAAAAAGTGATTATTTTTGCATCACTTCATGAAAAATCCATAATCTAAAGCTAGTATCAAAAGTAGTATTGTTTGCAGCTCAAAGTGATTTATTGCCTTAACATGCATTCTAATGTTTGGCATTATAATCACTTCTAGATTTCTAACAAATAAACACATTTATTCTAATGCTCCTCTTTTTTTACAGTTCCTAGGATAATATTTGCTGACGAAATTACTCTCATACTCGCATCAATAACAATGAACAAAAAAACAAATTGTTGTTTTAGCATATTAAAGCCCCACACATTAAAGCTTGTAAAAGTACTAGAAGAATATAAAAATTTCCAGTAACAAATACATAGAGTTTAGAGTGCAATAATAATTCAAAACATATGATGTGCATATTCATGTCAGTAAGGTGAAATAAAAACTTAGTGATGAATGGACAAGTAGATCAAATCAAAGGAAAACAAGGGGATGAGAGTACCCGTACAGAAATTAGGTTTGCAACATGACTATTTATATAAATAATTGTCAAGCTATTTGAGAAAAAAGATGGAAACTTTCGGGCGAGATGTTTTGGGAGATGACAATTGGCGGGATATTCAGCAAAATTAAGGAAAAAATGAATTTGATAAAGAGAAGCAAAAAAGATAAATAGATACTCCATATGAAGGATTCATGAAATTTGGTAAAGAGATTTGGCGGCATATTCTGGAAAAGGGTGGAGGGAAAATCGAAGAGTATAAGGTTAGGGAAGGTTAGAGAAAGTAGCGGAGATCTAGGGAAACTGCTGTGAAAATTCTAATTTTAGTAGGTATATAAATTCTCACCGTAGAAGTTATACGCCAGAAGCAACCTTATGAAGCTTCGGCCAAACTCAGTTTAAAGCCCATAATTGCGTGTGAAAAAATCATAAGTGGACAGCCCAAACAATATAGAATCACTTTGGATCACCACATAATCTGATAATCAGCTTAAAAAAGCAATGACAAACAGGCTCAAGTAAACCACAATGGTGAAGAAATGAGGAGGAAATATTTTCTCCTTTTTACCCAATGTTATGTTATGACAACATTGGCTCAAATTTCATTCAATTTCTCAACGGACAACTCCTCCGCACATAATTCCTTGAAAAATCTGATAATTCACTCATAACTTCCACAACATCAGTATCTTTGGCCCTTGGACCAATCAGGAGCAAATTATGAATCAAAATGTGGCAATCATGACTTTTCAAATTAAATAGTTTGCACTCTTTCAAATTAACACATCGAGATATGTTGCCTGCAAATCCATCTAGCTATTTAACTATATGTATTGTTAGCTTCTTTTATGCCCATAATTTGTAAATAATGCACTACTGCCTACTCGAATTCATTATCTTATTTTAAACCTTTAGTATGCAGATGCATTACGTAAGGTTGTAAAACTTCTTGCAATGAATATAAGTAACTCTAATAATTCTCTCTGATTTGAGGTTAAATCTTTAGTTGCAAGAAAAGTCATGAAGTGTAGAAGTGAGAATTTTAGCCGAACCGACGGTGTAACCGATTGGAAAAAACTAAACCAACCGAAATTTTGGTTTTGGTTTTGGGTTCGGCTAGTAGATACCAAAAACAATCAGTTACTTCGCTTAGTCAAATGCTTGGTTCACAAACTCAAACTTCACAAACTTACCATTCGTGAACTTCAATAAAGAAAATTCAATAGTCTAAAATATTTTTAAAATGAAAATTTAAACCATAAATAGTAAGTTTGTGAAGTTTGTGATTCTTGAGTTTGTGAACGTAGCATTGCCCGTCAGTTTTTAGTTTTGGACTTAAATAATTAAAACTTACCAAAAAACTGAATCCAAACCATTATAGCATAATTCATTTAGATGCCCAACCCAAAACTAATTAACCCAATCCATTGATCCATTGCAAATGAAATTAATATACAGAGATTGCAATGCAAAAAAGTCACAATCGAGGAACCCTATCCGACTTTCTTCTCTCACTTTCTCAAATCCTCACGGCCTCATGGAGTTATCCCTCCCGCTGCGAGTCTGAGGCCAACAACTTCCATGGGACGAGGGTATCATCAGTGATGTACTTCCCATTTCTAGATTCTCAACTTTTCTTTTTATTAATTATTATGTTTCTGGTATCTCATCAAAATATCTTTTTCTTATGTAATGTTAGGTTGTACAGTACTAAACTTTCTCAACCAATTAATGTTTCTCCATGTGAAGCTTCTTTTGAATTAAAAAACTCAAGTGTTTATTACAATTTTCATTGAGCAATTTCCCTATTTCATTTGCATTTTAATGTTTTGTGCATTTCTGTTTTATATAACTCACCGAAACCATTCAGTTTTAGCTATTTCGGTTTGTTTAGTTTTTCCATATATCAGTTCGGTTTCAATCGGTTATCATAGATTGAGAAAAAGTTTGGTCTTTTTGGTTATTATGGTGATCCAACCTCGAATCCAATGATAAGAGCGGACTGATCCAGCACGCGAAGCACATGTTACATGGGTGTTGATCCAACCCCATGAGCGAAGGAGAGTCTAGGACTGACTCAAGTACTAGTATTACGAAAGTAAGAGTATAAACTCGTTGGATGCCTGCTGGGTTCCAATGGTTAATTAAACCGGGTAAAAACGTACGTACCGGTCTCCTTGAATTGCCTAGTGATCCATCAAGTTGGGATTCCACCCACCTAACGGGAACACCCTAATTGGTTGAGCATGACCCGCTGATCCAGCGGGAACAATCATGACTCCAAGAAAAGTAAAAAGTCCTTAGTCTAGTGTAGAGTTCAAGTACAAATCAATAGTGATCCACCTCTGCAAGAAACGCTCCGTTTTGTGAATTGCATGATATTAAACCTATGTGCATGATATCATAATATGATTATGAATTAGTGGATTCACCTATGTGCATGTTCGAACTATTGGATATTTTCTCACTCAGTTTTGTTCTTGAGCATGTAGCCTCTTTTTCCCCTTGTTACACGTAGGTAATCATGGAGGAGCTGACCTTGGAATACATCCTGGAGGGCAGCATGACGGAGGAGATGTATGGATGCAAGGGTTTAAGAATGTTTGGTAAAATTATAAAGCTTCCTCACCGGTTGTATAAACTCCGATATGTATTTAAATGGTTTTGAATTGTTTAGTTTAAAATTAAATGTCTTTATTTCTCGAAAAATATTGTGTGTGGGTACCAATTTAGTAGCAACCCAGTTCTTTAACCTATTTATTCGGGTTATGCAGGTTGGGGTGTTACACACAGGATGGCTGCAGTAGAAAAAGGTGATGAAGTTGATGAAGAAGGCATGTGGACATGGTCAGTTGGGGCCCTCGTCGCAATGGTGGAACCTTTAATGGAGATCCAGTAGGAGTGGTCACAAGGGGCTGCCCGCCTGGTGAGATGACATCATCCGTACCCTCAGGGGGTGATCCTCTTGGGACATCCGGGCTGCATTGTCCATCCGGGACGCTGGGTTGCTATCCCTAGTGGGTGCACCCGATGGAGGATGGACTAGAACTACCTCTGGGACATTGGGGGTAGAAATATCTGCAGATGCCCGATAAACTGACTTAAAGGGGGAACCTTTTTGCCTCATGGGTTGGGACAACGCAGAAATGTCTAGATGATTGCGCTTCTGTGTGGTGGCTGGTTTCTGGAAGACCATAACAGGAGGTGATACATCTGGAGCCGAGGAATAGGCATCGATATACTCGGGATCATCAAGAGGATTAGCAGGCTTGACTGTGGGATTTCCAGTGTCAAAGGATGAGGGTTCATTTTTTCTTAGGAGAAGTAGGATCCTGAGAGCCCCTGGCACCAGATTCAGGGGAGATAACTTGGGCAGAATCAGATGAGATAAGGGGATGATTGCCCTAGAAGTAAAATCCAACTTGCCTGAAGAATTTAGGCTTCTGTAGGCACTCATGATCGATGAGGCCGATATCCTTCATCTCTTTGAAGGCCTTCTCAGCCTGGGAACCCTTAGAGAAGGGGGTCCGGCAAAGCTTGATCTTACGGGGCTTAGTTGGTAGGTCGAAAGGCAGATCAGTAGGAGCTTCAATCAAAGAGAACTTGTCCTCCCAACCTTTAATACACATTTCCACTTTTGTGAAGAGGACGTATTTCTGATTGGGGTAAAGGCTGAAAAAAGGGGAATCGCCCCCGGGGCTGAAGAAGTGCATAAAATCTCTCGCAGAAGGGGTCCTAAGCTTCTCGCAGCAGTGCAGAATGTAAGACGCCAGGTACTTGTGTGCATTGGCCGTAAATTTCCCAGGGAGAAGATCCCAATTTCTGCACACTTCGCGAATAAATAAGTAAAGAGGAAGCCTGAAGCCGTGAAGAACCGAATCGTAGTGTTCCACCAGAAAACGTTCTAGCGCTAGATTGTGGGTAAACGAAATCCCACCAACGCATCCAGATGATGGATTTTGATGGGCGCTCCCAAGAGATCACGCATGAGAGCGAGTTCAAAGCTCTTGATCTTGGAGGGGCCGAGTTCTAGGTGAGCAATTTCAGCAGATAGAACCATAATGTGGGAGGCCTTCGTGAGAAATTAAAAAATTCACAGACAAAATTGGGTTTGATACCCTGAATCATTTTGTTGAAAATGTATGATTGATGAATAATGTTTAGGTTGTTAAAACCTGTAACACCGAAGAAAGCATGTCGCATCCAAAGATGTTGTGAGGCAACAACTTCTAACATGATTGTGGGATGTTCGTGATTCTCACACGTAAATTGACTTCGCCATGCGTTAGGGCAATTAAGGCATGCCCAGTGCATACAATCAGTACACGTAAATATTGCTTGTTGTATATCTTGATGACCTATTTGGCAAACATATACAAGCATTCAAGGGACGTTCTCGCTAACATCCTAATAAAATCATCAAGTGCGTCAGCAGATGTGCCGTATGCCAGAAGTCAAACTGCCACGAGACAGTTTTGTAAGGTACTAAAACCCACCTTGTATCTGGAATCCGATTGTAGTGTAAAACAAGGATATACATGGACCAAATCATTGGTAATACGGATGAAAAGAAGGCGACTAATACGAAAGCGACACATAAATTGTTTGTCAGTGTAGACCGAATTTTCCGCAAAGTATTCGACCACAAGTTGATCATGAACACCTATATGATCTCGTGGCAACTATTTATCTCTTCTTCTCGGCTACGACATGTTGGGATCGGAGAAAACTTGTCGCGTCCACTATCACGTTTATAAACAACGTTTTGACTTCATCTAAAGAAGAAGAAGAAGAAGTTGGCATCGTAACATAGTAAGGTGACAACATCATGGCAAGACCAGAATAATACTTCCTCCATTCGAAATTAATTTATAAATTTACTATTCACAGGGTCAAACTTTATTCAATTTCTTTCTCTACTGTTTGTAGAATTTTTGTGTAGTTTTAAATATGTAATTTTTATTTTTAATTTCATTTAAACTTTCAAATAAATTTTCTTAAAAATAACTTCGATCAAACATTGTAAACTAAAACAGACTATTTAAATTGGGACGGGTAGAGTATACGAATAAGAGTAGAGGAAAGAAAAATAGAATAATAGAATGGATTTTTTCTTTGAGAATGAAGGTAAGGAATGGAGTAGAAAGTGAAGTAGGTGTTTAAAATGGTGAGCAGGGAGAGGTGTTTAAATAGTTGATTTTTTTATTTTTTGTTTTTTAAAGGCTGGAATTAAAAACTAACCATTAAAATTAGACCAAATAGCTCCAATGCCCCCTTTAGTTTGAAAATTGGCACCAATACCCCCTCTGTTTTCGAAATTTATTTCTAAAGTCCTTGTAGTTTCAAAACGTTGCACTCACACCCCCTATGATCAAATTCCGGTCACTTTATGATGAAGAGGAGGCATTGGTGCCTTTTTTCTAACTAGATAGTGACCCTATTTTATATTCTCACTCAGACGGGGATGATCATACTTTCAACCATTCTAAACTAGAAGTTGATGAATTTAATAATCTTAGGAAATCCTGTAATGCATATGCGGAGAACAAGAACACTCAGGTACACAACAATCATTCGGCAGAATACTTTCTCCAAATTATAATCATGAAACGTTAGTTAAGTTTATGCACACTAAAGTTTTCCTTATCAACATTTTCCAACATTTGATAATTAACATCTCTATTAGTTCTAAAAGATTAAAAAATAATTCAATCTTCGCACCCCCCCCCCCTGCCAACATTGCTACAAAATGTGATCGGATTGAATCGTTTGAGTGGAGTGTGAAAGTGCAAGCTATGTTGTTCAGAGCTCTTACAATCATTTATATTCAAACCCCAGCTCAGACTTGAGTTGCTTCTTAGTCATTTTCCTTTGGCTGGTCCTGAGCTTTCTGTAATAGTATTTTATTTGGAACAAGAACTATGAACATGTTCCTGTCTTTGAAATTCTTGCCCTCCAAAGTAGCAAGCTGTGATACAAGTAAACAGTAGTAGTAAGAGGGGACTAAAGGAGTTAGTTTCCTTTTCGAAGTGTAATTACCACAAGAATGAGGAATACAAAGATATTTGCCAACGCATGCAAAAAGAGTACATCCTAAGGTTACCTTCAACAATCTAATATACACTCCCTCCCTCCCTAAAAGGTTATCACACTGCCCTATTCCAAATTCACAGAAGCTTTTGTTTATTTGTGCGCTTTTATTGATTATTGGATAAAATAAAATATTCTTGTCGTGTTTTTTTGTAGAACTTTTAATGTAGTTTTTTAATATGCAAATTTTATTTTCTATTTGTATACCAATCTTTAAATAAAATGAATTGAAAAAACTTTTAGGGGCAAATGTGTACACTTGTAACAAATTGGGTGGATTTAGCCAAAATAGGGGTGGTTTTAGCAACTCCCATTATGACTAAATCCACTCCATTTATTTAGATGCACTACTTTGCCCTTAAAAGTCCGTTTGCATTTAAATTCTCTCTTTTGTACTTTTAAGGATAAAATTGTCAATAAAGCTTAAATGAAGTGGATTAGGACAAAATTGGGGTAGATATGGCAAAACCCTTATGATTACTACTGTTATTATTACTATTAATATTATCACTAAAAGAAAATTACTTACCAAATATTACTACAACAAGGTTATTTTGACAGCCAAACGGGATCCTAGGGGGCAGGGATGAGGGTTAGAGGTACGAACCATCAATTTTTCAAAAGGAGTACCGTAGGAGGCCAGTGTCATAATATGACACCAATTGGTGGTGCCATTTTAATTACTACTATTAGTAACTGATCATAGTTTCCTATTAGCATTTGTTATATATGGGGTGGTGCTCTCACTGGCCGTAATATAATAAATTTCCAACCTCAAGCAGGGAAGGATCAATATCTTTTTCTACGTTCTCTAATACGTTTGAAACATAAGCCTCATTTTTAGAGCTTCACACCTAAAATGTGTATCTACACCTCGATTTTGGGGACCGAAAACGCATCGGTGTGACTCTCCTTATTCTATGGATCAACAATAGCATTACCCCAGTGCCTCAACGGCTCCCGCCCATTGCGAGGTAAGGAGGATCGGATGTACGCAGTCCGACCCCTATGTTTAAAACATAGAGCGGCTGTTTCCAGATGACCAATTATGAACGTCGAAAATTGCATTGACCAATTGCTACTTCACAATGACAAGAAGCGCAGACAGTTTAGAGAACCAATTTGCTTTATTCCATCATACCCCAAAGCCAAAAAATAGTGAATCTTTGGCTCCACATTGGAATGGAAATGCCTTATTCTATGGATCACTTTCCTTATATCTAAGTTATAATGATGCAGTGAAATTGCAAGTGAATAGCACCTTTCAACATCAGTAGCATATTTAATGTAAAAATGAAGCAGCGAACAGACCTCTCCAACATCAATTTGAAATTGTTTGAGCAATTCAACTGCCTTAGCTCTGAACTCATTCTCACGACCCTTTAAATTCACAATAACTTTCACCTGGAAAAATAAAGCATTCGTTTAGTAACAGAAATACTTCTGGTAATATATGTACAGGGCATGTGAACTGGTAAATGCATGGCATCTCAAATAGCAATCAACCTTATCACCATCTTTTAGAAACTTCTGTGCAGCTTTCAAGCGCACAGAATAATCATGCACATCGATATTGTATCTGCAAATAATGTGTTAAACAAATATGCATTATGATTTACTCAAGAAGTTCAAACTGACTTGGCAAGTTTTATCTGCCTGATTGTATCTCCATAAGATAGAATAAAATTAGAAACTGAAACTTACTGACTCAATGATTAAAAATTGTCATAATGTGAAAAGTATGCGCAATTAAAAGTAGAATCTCTATTATTGATATTGTTTCAATGGTCGAATGAGATCAGGGTAAACAAGTTCTAGATTTTTTATTATACTGCATCAATGTACTCATATGCACGGAGTATTAAAATCGATGGTTGAGTTAATCTTTAAAATGGATCGTACTCATAAGCCAGTAGTCGGTATTATTGTAGGAGTAGGATTAGAAAAAATAACAAAAGCATTATAGGCTACGTTCTATTCGCGTGAACTGAGTTTTTAAGGTCTGGACTAATCTATCTCAATGGATCTAATCTGATCTGATTCAAATTAACATTAATATTATTACTACCTCCATCCTGGAGTATTTTCAGTTTTGACAAGCTTTGACTACTAATTAAATAAAATTGATATTAGATAATGATATAAAAATAATTGTTGTTGGATCTATTTTATAAAATATATTCAAAAATTTGTTATATTGAATTCATAGATCACATATTTCTTATTTAATTCAAGGTCAAGGTTGAAAATGGTTGACTGCAAAAACTAAAAACTTGAAAAATACTTAACGGTAGAGGTATTATAATAATTTTATTATTTTTTAACATTATGATAATGATCATTCGTATAATTATTAATGAATTTATCATTATATAATAGAACATCCCATTTGGATCCCACGAGAGTAAGATCTCGGGAGGGTGTGTATGCAAACC